GCTAACGGCGATAGGGCCAAGCAGCGCAATCACAAAGATAACAAACAACAAAAAAAAATACATTAATATCGGCCAGAACAACAACAATTAATAATATAATAAAGCTGATAGGTCCTTATTAGCAATACTCATCATTCTATAAAATGGCTGGTTTTTTGGTAGTTGANCTTATTAGCAATACTCATCATTCTATAAAATGGCTGGTTTTTTGGTAGTTGATATTACATTTAGGTACAGAAAAAAGAATTAGATTAGCAACTTCTATACTATTAGTACTAGTAAACCCATTCAAATTAATTGTTTTAGGAATTGAATGTTAAGATTTACTCTTTCTAACAAAGTTCCAAAAATTTTTTGGATTAATACAAAAATTAGATTCAGTCTGTTTAATAAATTTTCTGTAACAATTTTTCGATAAAAATTTGTATTTTACACGTAGTAGAGAAAACTTTCTGTAATGGAGTGGATTACGTGTTGCCTTAAAAATGGCGTGGGATTTTCTTTTTTGAAACACTGTATCAATCAAATCCTTAGAAAACCATCAAGGAAAATTAGATTTATTATAGTTAACACGTGAAACCCAGTGAAGAATAGAGAAGTGTAATGCATCATACAAAGTTGATATTGCTGAATTAACGTCTAGTTAAATAAATGTATACAACCAATTATAAGATAGGAAAAAATCTGAAATACGTGTATAATCTGCTTTCGTAAAATTAAAATATTATTCAACGGTATGAAAGAACGGATTTTTTTATTTGTTGAGTAATCAATAGCTAATGCAGGATAATATCGATCTTCAGGAACAATTGGATCATGCACCATATTAACTTTAAAGAGATTCTTATTTGTAAATATAAGATCTAACATTGAATTGTAAACGTTAAAAACATTATTAACTTGATAAAAGTTAAAGAAAGCAAAGGTCTCAGAAATAGGCTGTTTTCGGTAGCCATTGAATAGAAAATACCTAAATTATCATTAGACCAATTAATATTAGGTAAGTTAAAGTCACCATACAGAATAAAACTATGGGTGCTATAACAACAAACTAGATTTTTAATTGTGCTAGAATAAGTATCATAGGATTGAATAGGAGAGTTAGGAGGAAAATATACACCACCAACTATAAAATTGTCATTATTACAACTAAAACTAACATAAATTTGTTCAATACTTAAATTAGAGATAGAAACAATTTGTGAATGAAAATCTTTATGCACAGCAATAAGGACACCAACACCTCTAGTACAATTACTTATTAAAATACTTCTATCACATCGGTAAACATTATAATTATCCAAACATAATTCAGAATCAAATATATCAGAATAAAGCCTTGTTAAAACAAGAAATACATAATTAAAGCTGGCAAGATTACACTTAAGAGTAAAAAATTTAGTCTTAAGACCACGACAGTTTTGGTAAAAACCAAACGGAACATTATCATTTGACGTAGTATAGCTAATTGTAGGTAAATCACGAGGACAAGACTTATTAATTTTAAAATTGTATAAATTTAGTATAAAAATACTAAGAGTAGACTTGGCATTTATTATAAAAACATACATGCTCATGCAAACCTAGTGTACATGGCTGAACTATGAAAGTTGAGAAATTTGCTGAATATCTGGTTGTCGATTGGTATGTTTTCACGGACCCGGTTTTTTGGAATTGATTTGATCACAGATGGAACACCATTTTCATAATATATACGTAGATTTGTTTCAACTTGAGCTGTACGAGACAACAGATCATTGTGACAAGCACGTAATAGTTGTCGTTCAAATTTGGTTTTATCCTTGACAAGATTAAAAACATTTTGGAATTAAGTACCTGACCGCTTAACCTGGCTGTATGGTACAGCAAAAATTGTGCTTCCTCTTTGTTAGTATATATTGGCTTAAATGGGCGGGTAATACCTAAACGTGGTTTCCCAATCCGATTCAATTTGAGATTCATTGGAAGGTAATTTTTAACCGGCAACAAAATATTTTTAATCATGGATTCATCATGTAGAACTCTCTCAGGACCAGTTAAAGAGGTAGACTCTAATACACAATAAGCAATCACATTGGAAGAACAACGATCTCGTTCAAATATTTCTTGCAAAACCTAGCTAGTGATTGTGGATGGGTTAGCAGACGAGTTATTCTCTTCAAAACTACTAATTTTTGCCTTAAGTGAATCAATATCTCTTTTGAGTATTATATTCTCTGCTTTGAGTTCACTCACTTGCTCAGAAACTTTTAATATTTTTGCTTTAAGTGTATTGAACTGCAAAGATTGCGAGTCAGAAAGTGCTTTATTATTTATTATTGGAGGCGAGGACTTCAGCTTTGAAGAACAAAATAATTTGCATTAAA